GCCATGGCTATCAGGCTTTGCAGAACAAACAGGGAACACCTAGGACCTGGAAACCCACGTGCACCCTGGATGTTCTAAGCATGGGTGGGCATGGCAGTGTTGGATATCTGGGGACCAAAGGGAAGCCCACAGAGCCTGCAGGGTAAAAGGACCTTGATGACCAAGGGGGCTGGGAATCTCTCCCCAGTGCTCAACTGCCCAACGAGAGTTTCCCTGGAAGCAGCCACAGGATCCTCACCCATTTGGTGCTGTGACCCCCAAAGCCAATGACACCCTTGAGCCTCAGAATTGGGTCTGGGAGAAAATGCTGAAACAGATAAATATGTAGTGAGATCCCAGGAGACATGCCCCATACAAGGCCTGACCCTCTAATGCTGGGGCTGTGTCCTGCCACTCAAGAAAAGGCCACCTGAGGTTGGGGTGCAGCTCCGTGGTAGGGCACTTGCCTAGCATTTGCAAGGCCCTGGGTTACATCCTCGGCACCACCAAAAGGAATAAGAAAAAGCCACTTGAGTCCCAGGTGGCTCCTACTGGCAGCTTCCCTCAGACTGGAAGCCAGGACCCTGGCTGCCATGCCAGACCCGGGAGCTCTGGGTCCTGCTTTCCCAAGCTGCCTGGACTGGGGTGTTACTTAAGACAAGTCCTTCCTTACTCTTTGTGAAAGACTGCTCACTGGACATGCACATAGGGGTCATGCCCAAAGCTGTCTCCTGCCACCTCTGCATCCTGCCAGGAGCCTGCATGAGCAGGGACACTGAAGGCAGGCTTGCCTGATGTAGCCATGGTGAGCCCAGGCTGGGCAGCTCCTTACCCATACCCCACCCATACCTTGCCTGCTCTGGATGGGCACTCACCTTGCAGGAAGCAGCATCAAGAGCCACAGGCATCTCAGTCGACTTGTGGGCAAGCACATGGCCATTACTGACCACTGTGTGCATGTCAGCAGCCTCTGCCCAGGCCGTGGGATCTTGGGTACTGGTGTTAAGGCCACTGACCCTGGGCACCTCTGAGTGCTCACAGGACAGGCTGGCTTCTGGAAGGAGACTGGGTGCTGAGGGAAACTGGGGAGGCTGTGGGGAACCAGAGCACATTGGTACCTTGGCGCTGCTGTCCCCTAGCCCTCTCCTGGGGGCACTCACGGCTGTGGGGCTGGGCATCTGGACCAATGGGGACACATTCTGCATGGGCTCTCCAAAGACCACTGGGGGAGGAGGAAGCTGTGATGCTGGCCCCAAGAAGACTGCAGCAGATAAAGAACCCTAGTGATTTTCTGAGCAGAATGACAAGATGTCTGCTGAGAGGGCTGGCAAGGGCAGGGTAACAACTGGCCCTGCTTGTCCACCCTGCAGAAGCCACACCACAGCAGCTGCTCGCCATCCCACTCCAGACCCTGGCATCCCCTCTTCCAGTGCCAAAGTTTGAGGCCCCCAGCCCACCTGCTGCAATAGGTGAATCACTCTTCTGGACCAGCTGGGAAGGCACTTTCGGGTTGTCCCTGGGAAACCTTGGTGGGCAGGTGGAGAGAGGGTCAGCCCTGCAGGCCAAGGGGCCACTTGCCCATGCCCAGGGCTTCCTCAGGAGGGCAGACTGCTCACCGGACATGCACGTAGCGGTCATGCCAGCTCTCCCCCTTTGGCACTGGGAAAGCCATTTCTCGAGGCACAGGGGTGACTGGCAGCTTTGCCCTCCGAGCCTCAGCCACACTGACAGCTGCAAGGAGCAGGGCTGTTGCAATCGAGGCAGGCTGGTCCAGCTACCTCTTCTAGCCCCAGGCACAAGTGCTTTGTCTGGCCACTGGCCCAGCCACTACCCACACCCTAGGCTACATCTAGAAATCGGGGGCTCTGGCCTCCAGCTGCACCAATTCAGAGCTCAAAGATGGCATGGTGCCCTGGTAGAAAACCTGGGGCTACTGGTAGGGATGGACACACAGAGGGAGGAGAGCCGACACAGACTGGGTGGGGTGTGGGGCCTGGCCCTCACTGGGGTCGAAGCACAGGTCGCTGGTGTAGAGGTTCCTGACCAGCAGGTTGGCACACAACCTGACACTCTTGAGATGGCCGTAGCGCCGGCTCAGGTAGACTGACAAGATGTCACACAGGTCGAGCTGTAGGCAGGTCCAGCGGGCACAAGGGGGGGCCACACCTGCTAGGTCTGCAGGATATATATCCAAGGTCAGCGCCTACCCTAGTGCAGCCCCCACTTCCACAGTGATGATCCTGTACCCACCCCAGACCACCAAAGCAGCCTGACTGGACCTCCACCACCCAGCTATTGGCTGTGAGGCTGCCCTTACTAGATCATTCACACTCAATCTTGGTATCACCTTTCCTGGATGTCCTAGCCTCAAAGACAAAAGGGAACTGCAGCCAAGTGGCAGAGGACCTGAACTCCTTGAAGAGGCTGGAGAATGACACACGGATGACCTGGCCATCCTGCTGGGGCACAGCAAGGGTGTGAGAAGGGGATGACAGGCTATGGTGCCCACAGGCAGCTCCCATCCCAAGCCCCACACCTGGGTGGACAGGTCCAGGTGGATGGCAAAGTGCTTGGTGGGCAGAGGCCGGAAGAGCACATACAGGTATCTCCCAGTTAGTCCCAGGGACTGGGTGCTGGTTTTGGGAAGCAGGATGTAATTGCTGGCAGAGACAGAGCCCTGGATGCGATACACGGTACTCTTAAGGGCCTTGTCCTGGACAAAGAAGGGAGCAGCGTCCAAAGGGATCCAGGGCTGGGCGCGGTGGCGCTCGCCTGTAATCCCAGTGGCTCAGGAGGCTGAGACAGGAGGATCCTAAATTCAAAGCCAGCCTCAGAAACAGCAAAGTGCTAAGCAACTCAGTGAGACCCTGTCTTTAAATAAAATACAAAATCAGGCTGGGGATGTGGCTCAGTGGTCGAGTGCCCCCGAGTTCAATCCCCAGTATCCGCCGACCCCCACCTCAAAAAAAAAATAAAGGGACCCAGGGAGCGCCCAGGAGAAGCGTCCACAACGAGGTTTCCCAGCAGGAGGAAGGCCCCGCCAGTACCATCACCACAGACACATCGCCCTCCTTGCTGGACCGCTTCCACTCGTCCACCCTGAAGTATCTGAAGATGTTGAGGAACGGGTGCTGCCACGCTGGGGGAGAGCGAGGCGGCTGAGGGCCTGGAGGGTATAGGGCCAGGGGGACCCTCCGCCTTCCCCAGCGCAACCACGGCGCGCACGGATGGGCTTCCGCACAGCAAGGCCGAGGCTCCCTCGGACAGGCTCCGAGTGGTGGGCGCGGGGCCAAGTCAGCGGCCGGGCCGGTAGGGCCCCTCGCCGGCTCCCGCAGCCCCAGGTACCCCGAGCCCACTGGCCCTGGAGCCTTCCAGACCGGGACCCCACCCCCCGAACCCGGGTTCCAGGACCCCGGAACGCCAGCCGCGCGCAGCTACCTCTGGCCATGGCCGGGCAGCTCGCGCTTGCCGCTTCAGCCGGCGCCCGCCCCACGCAGGGCACGCAGCGCGGCACCTAGCAACGGCCGCCTGGTAACGGCGCGTCACTTCCGCCTCCATGGCGGCGCCCAGGACCCACGTGATCTCGGGACCCGGCCCCCCTGGAGGCCAGAGCCTGCACCCCGCAGTCGCTCCCTAGGGCTGCGAAGGGCCTTCCCGCGAGGTTCTCCTTAGCCGCCACGCACAGGCCGCTCCTGCAGACCCTCCTGTGTGGCGGGACTGAGACGCACCCCACTACGAGTGGGGCTGCACGGGGCAGGGCCGGGAGTGGGAGGGAGGCTGAGCCTCACCTGGGCTCTGTAACCCTCTGGAGGGTCCCGGACAGCACCCGCGGTACTCCGGGTCTTCTTGCCTCAAGACGGGCAAGGTCACCCTTGACCCATCAGAAAGGCAGTGCTAGTTTCAGTGCCCAGGGGGACTCAGGTTCCCAAACAACCATGTTTGTCCCCACGAGCTCACTACCCACCCCTAGACCTGCAGGACATCTTTACCCAGTCCTTTTAAGTCAGGCCTGGTGGCCTCAGAGAGTGGGACTTGGCATCCCAAGACCTAGCCCCAATCTTGGGTGGCTAGATTCCCATTTCAGGGCCAGTTCTTTAGCCTCTCTAGGCCCTGTTGCTTTGGCAACAGTAAATGCCAACAGGAGAGCATTAGATGGGGCAGAGCTGGGTCTACAGACTTCCCAGCAAAAGGAGCTGGCTGAGGGCCCCAGGAAGACAGCTAGGTGAGAAGCCGAAGACAGAGTTGGACAGAGCTATAGCCCCTGCTGACCCAGAAGCACCAGAGTGGATGGCTGAAGGTACGCTTAGCTGACACAAGGACACCACACTCTCAAGTCAAGGCCACTCCAAAGGGCAGTTTCTCAACTTTATTAGCCTGCAGCTCTTCCCTGCCAGCCCCAGGGGCTGGTCCCTGGGCAGTGAGCAGGACTGAGGTCAGACAGGTTCCGCTTCTGGCCCCTGCCAGCTTGGGACAGCTGGGCCAAGGAACCAAAGGTACAAAAGTCCAAATGTGGCACTTCAGGTGAGGCCAGCTTCTAGCCGACCACAAGGTGGAGGATATCATGGCCTTCTCTGGCCAAGGGTCCGTCTTGGCAGTGTTCATTCCCAGGCAGCCACTATGAACAGCTGGTGATCCTAGCCAGGAACTGCTGTGCCCACCACTCGTCCAGGTCGATGGGCACAAAGTCTGTGGGCAGAGCAGAAGCTGGACAGTGACACCACCTTCCAGACTGGTCATTGTCTCTGCCCCTCACTCAGATTCCAAACATCAGGCATTGGGAAGAAGGCGTCCAGCTCAGGAATCCCCTCCCCAAGCCCCTGGCAGGACCCAGGTCAGGACAGAGAGGCTAAGGGAAGACAGTAACATGGAGTAGGGCTCCCTTGGGGTACGGGGTCTGGGAGAATTCCTGGGAACAGGGCTGGGGGCTCACTCTGTAGCCGGGGATCGGGTGTCCTCTCCACGTACTGCACAGGCCTTGGCCCACTCTCACTGGCCTGGCCACCATCCAGCTGTTGCTCCACCTGCTGCCAGGCTATAGGGGATGGGTGGTCAGGCTGAGCCAGACCCCTGGCAGCCCCTCCCTGCTGAGGGCCTAGTGGCCACCCTAGACTCAGGCCAGCATTGGGAGTAGGCAGTCTTCTGGGTGGTCACAGGACAGACTACAGAGAGCCAAGGAAAAGCACAGCCAGTCAGGCTGCAGCAGGCTGGAGGACCTGGGGTCATCCCAGTTCACCTCACTGGGACCCATAGCCCAAGACATACCCTCTAGCCCTTTGCTACCTTCGGACACAAAGCGGACATTCTCCTCGTGGGCCAGTGTGTAGGTCTCTTGGGTTCTCTCAAGAGATGGGGATGTGGTGAGGGGCCGACGGCCATTCACTCGATTGAACACAAGTCTTGGCCCTGGACTGTGGGAGGGAGGAGACAGTATGGTCAGTACCCATCCAGGCCCAGGTGCCACCTGGCAGAGCCCAAGGGCAGTCTTGGACCATGCCCACTGTTCCAGACCAGGCCCAGCCTGGCCCTTCCTCAACCACAGAGCAGTGGCCTGCAGCAGTTGATGGTGTAGGCCTCTCTTGCAGGCCCTGGGCAGTTCAGCTCACATCTGCAAACCTTGGTCCCAGGGAAGCAACTTTGGGTCAGGGAGGGATCACCAGCTGTATCCGATCTTGGCAGAGGCACAGCCAGTGCCCCTCTACACTGCCCTTCACCCCCACCAGACAGGCCTTCAACAGCCCAGGTAGACCTCAGTCATGAGTAGGTCTCTTCCCCAGCCCCACCTGGCAGGCGCATTTACTCCTCTACCTACAACTGATGTGGGAGAACAGACCTAACAGCTGGATGGTCTCTGCCACTCCCACTCCCTGGCTGCCCCCAGGCCCTGAGGGATGAGTACTGAAAGCCTGTGAGAATCAAATGGGGAGAGCGTGACCACAACCCAGCCCATTCCCCATGAGCCAGAGACAAGGGGCAATACAAGTGAGATGGCCCCCATGGCGCTGCACAGGGTGTCCAGGGGGCCACTGAGCAGGTCCCAGCCAGGCAGGCCCAGGGCAGGGCTGAGCCCTGTGCACATGATGCCCACACGAAGCCCAGGGTGGGGCCGTGGAGGGAATGGAGCCGCACCTACAGCAGGAGGTGGGAGCCAGAGTCCTGGGCTGCGCCTGCCGCTCCACCAGGCACTCGCGGTCCCGGGCGGCCTGCTCGCCTTCCTGGGCTCAGGTGCCCCACGCCGCTCTGGGTTCCTCCTCAGGTGAGAGGGGCACTAAAATAAAGAGGAGGGTCTTGAGGGGCGCAGGGTCCTGCCAGCCCCAGGGCCGGCAGGGTCTTGTTGCCACAGAGAACCTTAGATGTGCAGGTGGAGACTGAGAAGGGGCAGCGGCTCCTCCCCAACCTGGAGACTGCCTGAGCTTCTGCGCAAGCCGGGGCATAAAAGTCTGTCCTCCTCTTGGCAACCTCCCCTTGCCTGCAACCACCCCCACCCTGAAAGACTTCAAACACCAGGAAAGCTTGGAGATGGGACATCAAATTTTTAAGAGGAAGAAATGCAACTGGCCCTATGAACTACAAGGGATCTAGGTGGTGATGCTCAGGCTGATATGGGGGCCCAGCAAGGCAACCCACTACCCCACAGTTATATAAAGCCCAGGCTCTGTGAGGGGAAGAAACAGCCCCAGTGTGCACCTGTGAAGGATAGCCAACCTATATCAGCTTTTAGGAATGCTGTGCAGGCAAGTGCCAGCCCACAGACCTCCTCTTTTATCACTTCCTCTCATGTATCCCCTCTACCACTTCCAAGGTAGACCAGCAGTCTATTTTTTTTGGCCCAAGAACCTGGGCTGGAAAGAAGTGGGAAGGGGACAGCAACAAGATTCAGCAGTAGTCCTGGCCTCAGAGCTCACACCCCTGACCCAGTACCAACCCTCAAGCCAGCCTCCTTCATGTGTTCTTGCTGGCCACAGGCCCTACCTCCCCACCTCTGGTGGTCCCTGCATGCCCCCTACCACCCTTGGGGACAGGTAATCATACTGCCCCATTTTGTCTCCTTCTCTCTCAACAGGACTGCCAGAGGTGCAGATCTAGCTGGCCTGTCCACTTTCAAAGGCAATGCCCACATCCATGCCTAGCCTGAACTGGAGCCCATACATTTAGCAGGTCAGGAACTCTGGGACTGCTGTGTGCCAGCAGGACAGGCAGTGGCCACCACTGCCCTTCTCCCACAATTGGTCAGATGAATGATGGGTGGTCAAAGGTACTAAGCAAGGAAGTTGTGGGAGTGTTAGGTGGGTGATTTTGGAGGGTGGCCCCTGAGAAGAAGCAGGAGTGGGGGCCACATATGGAATTGCCAGAATCTCCTAGCCGAAGGACTAGGACTGGGTGCAACCCACTGACCTCAGAGGAAATGAGAACAGTGAGTCCTGCTCAGTCCAGCAGAACTGAAGGCCACCCCCCACCTCCGCTTCCCCCTCCAGCATGCCTGGCTTGGCTGACTAATGGAAAACCTCAGGTGTCCACACCACATCTGGTCTCCTGGGGGTCTATGCTCTAGAGAAAACAGCCAGTGGGCCTGGGGGTATCCCTTGCAGTCCTTACCCTCTTCCTTCCTGCCTCCTTGACACTGCTCCCAACTCTGCCAGGGACCTGCCCTTGCTGTCCGCAGCAATGGAGCCTTGGAGAGGAAGAAGCTCCCCCAGGTAAGAGGTGTGGGGTCCATCAGCCACTCCAGCCTACACCCCCTGACTGAATAACCACACGGTGGCTACACACTAGGGTGCCTCAGCTTCCTCCACTGGGTGGAACAACCAGGACATGGACTGATGTCAGCCAAATGTCCCCAAGACCCCACTCACCCCCTCCCCAGGGCGCACCTCTGGCCTAGGACACTTCCACCAGAGATCCTCAGCATGTCAATGTGTCCCTCAATCAGGAAGCACCCCTCTCCAAAAAGTCAGTCACCTGACCCTACATCCCTCCACCTGTGGATTCTGAGCCCCAGCAGCTGAGAGGGGCATGGAGACACAGCACCCCCAGCTGTAGCTAATCTGCAATTCTGGACCCCTGGGGGCTGTCAGTTCTCAGCTTGGAAAGCCCCCACCTCCTGGGGTGTGCCCCACACTGCCTCAGGGAGCCCTGAGCTGATCCTGTGCCACCCCCACCTGGGGCCTAGGCAGGAGCAAAGTCCACAGGCTCCAGAAGGAAACAGTGGAGTAAATTGAGCCAAAGGAGTAAAAGGTTCAACCCTGGGGGAGGAGGCTAACCTCCAGGTCATGGTCCCTAGAGGGCAAAGTGGCTGGGAACGAGCCTCCTTGGGGCACTGGGAAGGCGGCTGGTTAGGAAAGGAAGGAAGCTGTAGGCCCTAACGCACTGGGGCATTTGCTGGAAAGGAGGGGACTCCAGTGCCCCAGGATGTCTGGGGTGAAGGGCAGAGGACTGGGGCCTGGCAGGGCAAGAAGGAAACACGTGCACCTCTCCCACAAGGACACCCAGGAGACCTTGAGGGCCTGCGCCCTGGGCAGCTCTTCCCAGCCCTCGACCGTCCAAAAGAGGTCCGTCATACAGCCCAAGGTCGCCCGGCGCGTCTGCCTCTGCCACCCGGAGTCCCCTTGACCCACGAGGGGATCACAGGCCGGCGGGCCCCACGTGGCCAGGAGTGTCCGTGCTAGCCAGGCCGAGCCCTAAGGCCCAGCCAGGTGGGCGGAAGCACGAGCAAGCTAACCGGTGCGCCCCGACGGCGTCCACCGACCTCTCCCCAAGGTCACTCTCCAGGCCGCCGGCGGCCACGCTCACCTCGACAAGGGCCAGGGTCCGGGCTGCGGCGCCAGAGGCTGAGCCCGCGGGGGTGGCGAAGCCGGCGGCGCGGGCTGCCGGCATTTCAGGAGCTCACCGAGCCTGCTTTCCACCTGCTGCTGCGGGGGACCTACGGGCGCGGGGAGGGCAAGTCAGTAGCCGCGGGTCCGCGGTGCCCGCGCCCGCCCGCGCTCCCGCCCGCTGGGCGCACCTGTGCGGCGCTGTGCGACCAGCTTGCTGGGCCCCTTGGTGATGGTGTACATGGTACGCCTGCCCGCACCCAGGACCGCTCCGCCCTCACTCGGCCGCCGTCCCCGCCCGCCGGCCGGATCCGAACCCTCCGACCGCTCCAGTTCCGCGGCGAGGCGGGCGTGGCCCCTTTAAGGGCAGCGGGCGGAGCAGGGCAGAAGGCGGAGCGGCTCGTGCACGAACCCCCGCCCTTAAAGGGGCCGCGTGAAGGTGCCGGACTGGCACGTCTCACTGGCGGCGCTCCCAGCTGTGGGGCATCTGGTGATGATGCGATGCTGCAGTGCAGAACGAGGTCGGCGGTCTTTGCGACCTCCAGGCGGAGTCCTCCGTGAGCGGTGACTTAGCCCTTAACAGGAGAGAGGGCGCTCTGCCTTGGGTGCTAGGGAGCTTTACTGGGGGCCTCTCTGCATGGGGGTGGGGGTCTGTGCTGAGGGTATCTGTAGTGAAGGGGAACCTGTGCTGAGGGGTGCTCTGCACACGCTGGAAGCAAGGGAGCTTCTGCGTATGTTTGAAGGTCCTCAACCAATGCCTGGAGAGGTCTGGGCCGGTATTGGGAGTCACCTTCATCCTAGGGAGTCTAAGAAGAGAAAAGGGGTGAATTTAGCAGGGAATGGGAAGTAACAGTGCCCCCAGGTGGATGCAGGAAGCCTGGAGGCCCAACACCAGGTCTAAGCTGGGAAGGGTGGAGGAAGGTCAGCTCCACTCCAGCCCCAAGGCTACTCAGAAATCAGATCTTCTGTGTCCCTTGCTGGGCTGCCCCAGGTTGACTGAGGCAGGAGGATAGCAAATTTGAGGCCAGCCTGGGTAACTTAGTGAGACCCTATCTCAAATTAAAAAGACTGGGGATGTAGCTCAGTGGTAGAGCGCCCCTGAGTTCAGTCCCCAGTGCTGTAATGTGTGTGTGTGTGTGTGTCTCTCCACCTGGCACCTCTTTACTTGGAGTAAGAGTTTTTATAAATGTAATCAAGGCAGCGACTTCAGTATGAAACTATCCTGAATTAAGGTGGCCTGAGGGTTGGGGCCCTTTTAAGGGAGAGATCTGGACACAGAGGAAGGCTGTATGAAAATGGAGCATAGGGGCTAGGGTTGTGGCTCAGCGGTAGAGCGTTCACCTAGCATATGTGCAGCCCTGCATTCGATCCTCAGCACCACATAAAAATTAAAAAAAAAAAAAAATTGGAACAGAGACTGGAGCAATGTGGCCATAATCTGACAGTCTGGTTTCTAGAGTAAATAAATGTATTTTCTAAAAGTCACCATGTTTGGGGATAATTTGTTATTGCAGTTAAACAAACTGATATACCCAGGAGAGTGGTGGAAGGAGGGATGGGAGGGAGCGCTGCATAGGGCCTGAGAAGGAAAGTGGGGATGTTGGACCCCCACTGGATAGTGGGGGGCAGGCAATGAAAAGTGGGCAGATGAGCTGGGACCTAGGAAAGAGGCTGGGCCCTGCTGTTGACTTGGGGTGAGGTGGGACATGGCCCACAGGCCCTTTTGTGAGTGAGAATGGCATAGGATTGACCCTCACTCATCAGGCATTGCCTAAGCATCTTCTGTAGGCCAGACCCCAAGATAATCACAGGCTGGGAGGAGGGGAAGTGTGTCCAGGGAATAAGAATGAGGATGAGGCAAGGACCAGTAGGTGCTGCAGGACAAGGGAATCCCTTGTTTCTTTCCACAGCATACAACCAAGGACCTGTGGCTTGCTGAGTCTTGGTGATTTGATCACATGTGGAAAGGTGGCCCCTGCTATGGTGCCTCCTACCCAGTATATATACATCCCTCAGGCCTAAATTCAGTCTCTGGCACTTGACTTCAACAAGTTCAACCCTGGCTATCCAGGGGAATGTTATCCCACAGAGGTCCCAGACAGCTGCTAGCATCTAACACACTTGCCTGCCAGGAAATGTGTGCTCCCACACACGGACTGCGGAATAGCCGCTCCACCACCTCATCTGCTTTTCTGCCAGGCGCTGAGCTCTGGCAGTGCGGAGGCCAGGCGGAGTGATGGATGCAGCAGGAGTGGGGGTGGGGGTGGTATCCGCCAGAGTCCAGTACCATTAAGCACAATGCCATTTGCTAAACACTGTGAACAGTTCCTTAAAGCAGGATTCCTGCCTGTGTGCAGAGAGTCCCAGGGGAAGCCTGGGTTGTGAGTGGCACACCTCTACCTAGGTGGTCCCCTGGCTGTCAAAGTCCTCCAGGTCCTCCTGGAGCTACACACTCACCTGCTGCAGAACCCAGTCAGGGTCACTATCAACACTGTATGTACATCAATATCCACTTCACAGGGCTGGGGCTGTAGCTGGTTTGATCCTCAGTACCACATAAAAATAAAATAAAGGTATTGTGTCCAACTACTTCAAAAAATAAATATTAAAAATAAAACAAAGGCATTCAGTCCATTTACAACTACAAAAAAAAGTTGATAAAAATGAAAAAAATATATATATATCCACTTCACAGTGCTGTTTGGAGGAGGGGGAAGCCCGCTAGTCCTCAACTGGCTGCTTCTCTCATTTTAAAATATAAATGGACACAATACATGGTGCAGAGGATCCAACACAGTGCCTCACACTTGATAGGCAAGTGCTCTGCCACTGAGCCTCAGCCCCAGCCCAACTGGCTGCTTTCTTGAGGGAGCCATCCTAAGTGGCAGCCCTACAGCATTGTCCCTGGGACTCTTCACTAGCCCTCCCTGGTCTAAACACATTCACATCCCATCCATCCTGGCCATTGGCCAACTTTGGATATGCCCTCAGCAGCAACCACAGGCTAAAGTCCTAGTCAGCGGCCACCCTCAGCTCTGGTCCGCAAGACGTGGGGTATGGGGGTTCTTGGCCAGTCCTGACTGCAGAGCACTGCCCTCTGCATTTTCTGGAATCGGAACCTCTGAGAGGTGGACCCCAAGCTGAGTATTCTGAGAAGCTCCCTTGAGTACACACACATCGCAACGTCAGACTAGATTTCATGGGTCTCTGCTCCCGCTATCTATCCCGCTAGGGACCCTGAGCGGGCGCTGGTCATCTCAGGGTTAGAAAGAAGTCCTGAGCATCACCAGCTGGGTCTGAGTAAGATCCCCCAACCAGGGCCCCAAATCGGGCCCTGCCCATCAGGCCCCTTTCACCAACCCCAAGCAAGGCCCTGCCCACCAGAGGACCTCACTAGGGCCACGCCCACCAGACTCCCACTACGGCTCCGCTCCCATCAACAACCGAGTGCCCATGGTTGTCATGGTTTCCATGGCTAAGGCTCGAATGAAGGCTGTCTTCGGATTTGCATTCTCCATCTGCGTTCGTTCTTCGGACTCCTAGATGCATCACGAGACCAAATTCAGGTGACGATAACACATGCGCTGTGCCCGCTGCGCGGCCGGCTACGTCATAATTCTTAGGTCTTGTGGCAGCTTCCTTTACTCAGCTGCGCCGCTGGTGTAGTGGTATCATGCAAGATTCCCATTCTTGCGACCCGGGTTCGATTCCCGGGCGGCGCATATGATTGTTTTCCCTTTTTCCGATCTCTGGAACCGGCTCCAGCTCACCGCAGCCATGAAGAGCAGAGCAGACTTGAGGGAAGTAGGAAGCACCGGTTCCGGTGCAAGGAGAGACAGGCTCTCTGAAAACACTGGCGCGCAGTGGTGACGCGGTTCCTAACCAAGAGGCGTCCATAAACCAGCAGCATCGGCCGCCGGGGCCCCTCTCGGGGCTGCGGACCCACCCTTTAAGGGGTGTCGCGCGTCCTCGTGTCAGTTGTCCGACTCCCGGCAGCGCGGTGGCGATGCTGGTGGCGGCGGCCGCGGAGCGAAACAAGGAGCCCATCCTGCGCGTGCTGCAGCAGTACGTGGACCCCGCGCAACGCGGCGTCCGCGTGCTCGAGGTGGCCTCTGGTTCCGGCCAGCACGCCGTGCACTTCGCGCGGGCCTTCCCGCACGCGGAGTGGCAGCCGTCCGACGTGGACCAGCGCTGCCTGGAAAGGTGCGAAGGGTGCGGGCTGCCAGAGGGCGGCCGGGCAGGGGTGCGGGACCAGGCTGTGGAAGCGGTAGGGCTGCGGGCCCGCTGCTCAGCCTCTCCGGGCTCCTGGTGAAGCGACTGCAGGGCCCTCTGCCTCTCGCTCATCCGCTGCCCTCCACAGCATCGCCGCCACCACGCAAGCCCAGGGTCTGTCTAACGTGAAGGCCCCGCTGTACCTGGACGTGACCTGGGAGTGGGAGCACTGGGGAGGGATCCTGCCGCACTCGCTGGACCTGCTGCTCTGCATCAACATGAGCCACATCAGTCCCTTAAGCTGCACCAAGGTGGGTGGCTGCAGAGATGCCTCCCGAGGGAGTGGCGGCCAGGATAGCCCTGTCTCCAGCAGGGGTTCTCCAGGGTCTGGGAAGGTGACTTACCCTGCCCTGCCTCCTCCTCCCCAGGGGCTTTTCAGAGCTGCTGGACATCTGCTCAAACCCAAGGCTCTGCTCATCACCTATGGGGTGAGTTGTCCTGCCCCAGGGCCTTTCCCCTCTTATGGCCTGCTGGGCTCTGCCCAGGCTCCACCTGGTCCTAGGCTTCCCCTTTTTGGGGCAGAAAAGGGGTGTCCTTTTCATTCTTCAGACCTCAGCCTGCCAGCATGTCCATGGCCCACTGGGGAATGACTGACCCTGGTTCTGTGCCCCCTGTCCATGCAGCCCTATGCAGTCAATGGGAAGATCTACCCCCAGAGCAACGTGGACTTTGACTTGACCCTAAGATGCAGGTCAGAGCTGGGTGAGAGGGGCCTGGCTTAGGGAGCAGGTGGGCTGGGTGTCCCTGGTTGGCCCTGGACAAGACCCTACTTCCTCCCTGCTGCAGGAACCCAGAGTGGGGACTGAGGGACACAGCCCTTCTTGAGGACCTGGCTCAGGCCAGTGGCCTGCTCCTGGAGAAGATGGTAGGCAGGGTGAGCTGGGGTGGAGTGGCCTTCCTGGGGCCCACGGGCCACTCCAGCAAAGTATTTCTGTAGGTGGACATGCCAGCCAACAACAAGTGCCTGATTTTCCGGAAAGAATGAATCCTCCCCTTCATCCTGCGTGCATGTGCCCAAGTCTGGGCACAAACCAGAACTCCATCCCTATCTCCCAGGACCAGGTTTCTGGAATGACCAGCCCCACCAGTCTGGGCTCGTGGAACCTGGGCCCAGACTGCCTTGGAATAAAGCACTTTCTGCTGCCCATTGAGTATCTACCACACTGTGGGACGGGTGGGAAAAAGGGTCTGGCCTGTGGGGTTGGGGTTGGGGGCATCTAGGGCCTCAAGGGACAGGCAGAATGGAGTTGGTCCCCACCTGTGAAACACGAGGTCCCCAGGGTGAGCTGCTTCTCCTTGGAGACCTCAGATGGAGCCAAAGCCCCAGTTGGTTGAAGACCCCAGCTTGGTAACAGGCCAAGGGGTGGGGACACCTGGAAGGGTAACAATCCCCCACCGACAGCAGCCCATGAGTTCCAGGGGCAAGGAAGAGCTTTTATTCATCAGAAAGAAGGGCAGGGTGGGGAAGGGCAGGGCTAATCTTGGAAGCGGTTGAGCAGCTCACAGGCCTTCTTCTCCAGCAGCTCTGATATTTTCTTCACCCGCTTCTCACTGGCGGCGCGCACGTAGCTGCCAGGGTCCAGCACGGCCACACCATCTCGTACTTCACCCATGATAACCAGTGGCCCATCGCCGGCAGACACATTGGGACAGGGGCAGGCCCAGTCCATGCCGCTTAGTGTCACCTCCAGGTACTTGGTGCCCAAAAACTTGAGGCCCATCTTGTCATCCTTCAGTACGTCATCCAGAGCCACACGGGCAATGCCGCCTGCAGCCTCTGGTTCCTCCAGCACCTCAGTGAGCCGCCCTACGATGGCAAAGTCACTGCGACACAGGCTCAGCGCCAGTTTGCTTCTGAGGCGACAGGCCCGGCAGGGTGGTGTGCGAGGCACAGGGCAGGCGTCCTCACAGCGCTCTCGGCTCTCAAAGTTGTTGCCATTGCCCTCGCAGCCACTGTATAGGAAGGGCAGGCACCGCTGCAGAAGTGGGCTATAGGCCCAGCGTGGCTCCCAACCCTGGCAAGGCCCCTGCACCGCTGGCAGGGTGCAGGCATCCCCAGGGCCGCGGGTGCAGGCCTGTTGGCATGCCTCGTATGTCTCGAAGCCCCGGGTGGCCCCATCACACTCGAGAGCAGGGAAGGTCATGCAGCCTCCGCGCTGTGGATCGAAGTTCCAGAGCACATGATGTGGGGAGGCAGGGCCCGAACAGGCCTGCGTGCCAGGCAGGCACTCTGCCAGAGTGGGCACACCATGGTCCTTGTCCCTGGCTGGCTCCCGCTGGACCACAGAGAGTGGGAAGTCAGCCCTCAGCAGGCCTGCGGCATTGCGTGCAGTGCAGGTGTAAAGGCCAGCATCCTCTGGCCTGGCATTGTAGAGTACCAGCTGCCCGATGCTAGTGACCACCACATTGCCATACATCTGATCAGGGCGCAGGATCAGGTTCTCCTGCTGGTGGCTCTGCTTTTCCCAGGTCACAGCAGGTGGCGGGCGGCCACTGACCTCGCAGTGGAGGCTGGCCGTGCCTCCCACATGCACTGCTTGTGGGGAGGGACTGCTGTACAGGGCAGGTGGCATGGGGGCAGCCCCCAACGTAGGCCGGGCTGTGGTCTCTGGTGGCCCTGGACTGCTGGGTGGCCAGCTAAGGACATGCTTGCAGGGCACCACGTGTAGGTGGAGGCCTCGCAGGCAGGCCTCAGCGTCCATGTAGCAGCGATTGTAGTAGGTGAGGCCATCGGAGGCACAGGTGAAGTGGGGCTCCTTCTCACAGCGGTCACGGCAGCGGCACACAGGCTGCCCATCCCAGATGTCACAGTCAGAACCCTGCTGTGGGCACTTGAAGCCCTCACAGGAGGCTGCTGTGGTGGGTGCAGCTGGGCCATCTGGGAATCGGGCTGCCACGCAGCTCTGCAGCCCACACACGTTGGCACAGCACTTCTCCGAGGCAGCACAATCCTGGGGGAGGCAGGTAGCTCAGCAGAGCCCTGAGGCCCTCCCACCTGGCCCAGGGTCTCCACCTTGCCCCTGCACCAGGGAGTACAGATGCCTTCAGCTACAGCCCCTGTGGCCTCTCCCTGAGCTGGCTTTCCCTCTGGAAAGTGGAGGAAGTGCTTTTTGTCCAGCATGATAAGCTTCAAAACTGGTCACATATCACCTAACTGAATCCTTAACATCCACAAGCAGGACTCACCGTGGTTCCTTCCCCGTGTGCCAAGGCCCTGGGCTCAATGGCAGATTTGGGCTAGGGTGTGGCTTAGTATGAGGGAGGACCTGGTTCTGCCCTGGCATCATACAGAAAAAAGCAGTCCCCCACCATCACAGATGGCCATGTGCCAACCCTTTGGTCACCCCTTTCCCAGTGTGAGGGAAGGGCGATGGCCCACAGTAAGATTGCTGTGCAAGGGAAAATTCAGAGGCCTGTGTCCACTCTGGTCTTCACAGGATAACTGCTGCCCAGGCAGGAAATAGACAGGTCTGGTGAGGAAAAGGGGATCCCATTCTCAGACAGGTGAGGGCAAAGATAGGGTATGACCCGGGCCCCTTGTATGGGGAATGGCCAAAACCTTGGCAGAAGAATGTGGAGAGCCCCAGTAGGAAGTGGGTTCCTAGGGCTGCCCTCCACCCCCAGGGAAAGGGCTAGGATGGGGCCAAGCACCCAAACTCCTTGGGATTCCCCACACTCACCTGGTCCCTGGCGCACTCTCGCTCACAGGTGCTCTGGGCGTCTACCCACAGGCTGGGGCTGAGCTGGTTGGGGCACAGGCCGGGATGGTTCCCTAGCTCTGGCAGCAGGCCAGCCCCCAAGGCCAGTCTGATGATGAGGAACAGAGGCAGGAACAGTTGCAGGGCAGGCATGGGGACCACAGGGCCAGGGGGCATAGCCGTGTGGCTGCCAGCCCCTCCTGGGGCCCCACAGAGCCCAACACTCTGCAGGCATCCACTCTCTGGAGCTACCCGGCTGGCCCTTCCTCTCCCCTGATTATTCTTTGGGTTCCCCTTTGGCCCCTGAGGCTGGAGCCCACTGCAAATGCTCCCCCAGGCCCCAGTTGGGTGGGTTTTGGAATCTCAGAGCTCTCTCTGTGTAGCCCTTTCCCTCCCTAGTCTGTCTCCTCTCTCAAACACTGCAGGCCGCTCCCAGGTCCTGGTCAGCATAGGGAGAGGAGGGGAGGCTGGGGAGGGGCCAGGGCTCAATAGCGCAGGGTCATCGAGGGGCGGAGAAGGGCTAGCTCTGGCCAGAGAGGAGGAGAGGAGGGGGATGACACAGTAGCTGGAATCCTTCCCTCCATAGGCTGAAGTCAGCTGGGGTCAGTCTCCTTGAAGACCCTCCTCCTTCAATTTAGGGGGGAGGGGTGAGGCCAATAGAACTCAGCAGCTTTTGTCCCCACCCTTTGGTCTCCCATGTGGGGGGAGTTCAGGCCCCTACCTCACCCCAACTGACCACAGGCCTGGGTCTCCCCAAGGCAGGTCCAAGTGGTACCTGTCACCTTTGAGTCCAGGTAAGGCACAGGGGTGCTATTTTAGCCCAGCAGATGGGGAGGGGGTCTGTTCACTTCCTGGGAAGAACACCACTTTCTACATGTCCCTGTCAGGGTCACAACCTGCCAGCAGATCTTGAAGTACATGTGGAATCTGCAGGGGTGAGGCCTTGGCAGCTCAGGCCCTGAGCCGACACAGAACTTTGCATTCCCAGAGATACCCACTTTGCTGGAGCCTCTGGCTCTGGCTCTGGCCTTGGCCCAGGCCCTTCCTGGGCTGAGTAAGGAAGGACAGAAGTGAGGCCTGCCCAGCACCAGGATATGGCTCCACATGGGTATCCACCCAGGGTCCATAGGGATGGCCAAGTCCAAGGGCCCTAAACGAGCAAAGTCCTACAAACTACCCAGGGCCCGCAAGCACCCAGGAGTCTCTCCCTGCCCCCAGCTGCCTGGCCTGACCTGGGGGCCAGCTGGGCTGGAGGCCCCTCCTCCACTGGGGAGATCAAAGGCTCCTGGCAGGACAAAGGGAGGCCTGGAATTTGCCCTTCCAAACCCTTCTGAGGCTCCAGAGGTCTGGGGGCCCCAGGATGTAGCCCTGAGTCTGACCTCCTGACCCAGGAGGCAGGGTAATAAAGAGCTTGGTCTGGCCAGAATGGAACCAAGAGATGGCTGCCAGGCGCCAATGACTCCTGACTTACCCAGGAGCTATGGGGAGCTGGCCCCTGATAATGAGGGGTGGGCCAGCCTACAGATGGGGTCAGGACAGGAGCTCACTGCAGCCTGGCAGCCCCAGTGTGGGGGTGCCCAAGGCCTAGACCACTCCCAAGGAGCAGCATGTGTCCCATCTGCGAAGGGCCATCTGCGGAGTACAGCATCCTTATCCTGCTCAGGTCTGACCTCCAGGACATGACTCACCCCTGGCCGAGCAGGACTCGGCAGAGTCCTACCCTTGGGGTTCCTGAAGCTGTGGCAAACTGTGGGTGCTGGAAATAAGGGCTCCACATGAGGAGGCGTTTCCCTAGGAAACTGGCTTGTATACTGTGCACAGACCAAGCCAGCCCAGCCCACTCTCAGCCCTCGTATACAGGTATGCAAACCTAGTGTGCCTGCAGGTCATCAAGGTCAGCTCCTGAAGACAAAGGGCTCAAAAAAGCTGGGGCTCAGGTGGGCAGGCACAAAGCTGTGGTGGTCCCTGTACAGGGCACCACTGCCAGACCCACCACCCCCACCACAGCCCATAAAATCCGACTGACCTTACAAAACCAACAGGGAGGGCACAGCTGAATTACATTTACTGTACAAAGAAACGGAAGAACAGCTCAAAGGACACAGGAATGCAGGGTCCAGCAGCAGTGAGGGTAGTGTTGATATGGTGCACGTGGGACTGTCCAGCTCCTCAAAATGAAGTCTGTGTAGCTCTGTTCACAACTCCAGAGAAAAGGGCATTGCTGGCAGCAACAGGGGTGCTGGGTTGGGAGATGGTGGAGCCACCCCTGACACAAGCTCCCCAGCACAGGAGCCATCTCCCAGTACAGCCACGGTGCTGCATCTGCATGTCCACCGGTGCCCTGAAATACCTGCAGCAGGACTGTCCTGTACCATGTGCACTATGAAGGACCCAGAGAGAGGGGTCCCAGCCCAGGGAGGGCTCCTTGGTGGCTGGGGCCCTAGGGCAGGAGGTAGAGTTGAGCACCAGTGAGGCCGAGGGTGGGGGTGCCAGGCAAGGGGGCAGCACTGAGAAGGACCAGGCCATGGCTTCATGGGGTGAGGATAAGGACACTGTGCACCGGCACAAGGGCTGCTGGGAGGTCCTCCAGAGGGGCCCAAGGTGCAGACAAGGCTGCTGTCCAGGCAGTACCACTAAGAAACAGGTCAAAGAGGTTCCAGTAGCATGTGACCTCACAGGCAAAAGGGCACCACAGATGAGAACGAGCTGCTGAGAAAACAAGTCCTGGCAGTGTCTGGAGGTTCAGATGCCAACAGTGTCACTCCAGTGTCACTCGCAGATCTACAGAAGGCTCTATAGATCTCCTTGACCTGGAAACCTGATCTATGTAGTGAGTATTACTGAGGGTGCTCAGTTATAGCAAGCAGGAACCCTGGAGTGGCTGAGGGGGGTCCCCTCACACCCTGCTTCTCCCCTTTCCTGTAAGTCACACATCCTTGCCTATGCCCAGCACACTGATCTCCAGAGTTATACGCTGGGGCCAAGACCTCTGCCAGAAGCTTCTGGGGTACCCTGTTTCTCACTGGCATGGGCAGTGCCAACACCCCAGGCAAATCTGATGTAAATCTAAAGAACTCCTGTTCCGACTGCACCTCCTGCCATCACTCCTCAAGCCCCTCTTTCCCCAGATGTATGGGCCCTCCTCATGGCTGCTGTGGCGTGAAGAGGCAAGCTCACCGCACAGATGCATCCATCTTCCCTGACAGCCTTTTTAAAAATGTACAAAACAGGCAAAATGTTCTCTATATAAATAAGGAAGGGGAGCCAGGCTCCCTCCTGGCCCAAGCCCAGGCAGCCTGAGTCTGGGGTTGATTCAGACCAGGATCTCCGTAGCACCAGCAGCCCAGCTACCCAAAGGCCCCTGGGCCTCATCCATGGAGTGTGCTCTCCCCTCCACCTAGCTGGGTGTGGAGGAGAACCGGACGCTTCCGAAACAGGCTGTGTGGCCAAGTCTTCCTGCCCGGGAGCGCTCTTCCACCACTGAGCCTTCCCGAGTCTGCAGAGTGGTGCCTGCTGGCCTGCTAGGAGATCTTGCAGTTGCTCCGAGAACAGTTCTGGGGAGGGCTCTGGGGCGGGCGGATGGACTTGGACCTCTTGAGACTGTTGCCCTTGCTACTGCTGCCTCCAGCCCCACTGGCCAGGGAGTAGGAGCGACCATGCATCATGACGGCATTCATGCCGTTAGCCATGGAGAACGACTTGAGGTGGCTTTTGATGGTGACGGGTAGTGGAAGCTTGTCAATGAGGTGCACTGGGGTGCAGGAGACGATGGCACGGCAGCAGAGGTCCTGCAGGCTGAACACTGTGGCAGGGGGAATCAGATGGGGGCCAGGAGGCCCACTAAGGTATGTGCTGAGGAGCTGCCCTCTCCCAACCAGGACAGGGCCCTGCCCTCAGTCTCCCAGCACAGACACGGTGCACAGAGTGGCTCCCTCCTGCCTTCCCTCTTAGAATAGAGTGCACTGCAAGGTGCTGCTGCGAGACCAGCAGCCCTAGGAGCCATGGTGGGGCAGAAGCCGACTTGCTCTTGGAGCCACTCTGCAGCCCCTCCTATAGCTCTGGTTAGAGTGCAACTCAGCCCAGCCTGGCGGCACCCAGCTCAGGTCTGCACAGTCTGCAGATGCTCCTGTGGCAGAGTAGGCCCAGGGTACAAGAAGGTTCTCTATGGCTCCTGTTAAGAAGGGAGGGGTTTGGGCTCCACTGTGACCACCCGTTTGCCCAGCAGCCAACTGCCAGGAAACACGGGTCAAATGGCCCCATCTCCTATGGTTTCTGGTCGAGGTATGGAATAGGGCAGGCAGAAAACTGCAAAGCTGCTGGCGTCCCATCTCCAGAGGGACCCCACATGCAGAACTGCTCACTGCATGTAGCATAAGGGGACTGTGGCTCTGGAGGACCCTTCCCATTTTCCCCCCAGCACTCTCAGCTCCACCCCCACATCGCCACCCACCTCGATTGGGCCTCCAGATCTTCTCCATTCCATGCCGCATAAGAACAATGCGTGAGAGTTCGGTGAAGGATTCAATAACATTGAAGTTGCACAGGGGGCTGACCTCAAAGAACGTCATGCAGTTCTTCTCCGCATAGGCACGGGCCTGCTCGGTTGGGACTTGCCGCTTGAAGGCCAGATGCAGCCGGTTCCCAACAAGGATCCGGGGGACCCCAGGTGCGTGCTTGGGTTGGGGAGACACACAGTATTCAGAGGAAAATCTCAGGACACACCAACCCCTCAGTCTTGAGCAGACCCCCATCACCCACAAGCTATGGAGTGGTCATAGCAGGCAATATACCCAGGTACAGCCTAGTCCTGTGCCTTCCCCTGCAGGGGTGCAGACCCACACCTACCTCATCAATCTCTTTGATCCACCGGTCAATGCCATCAAAGGACCAGCGGTTTGTGATGTCATATACCAAAAGGATCCCCTGCAAGGGAGACATATAGAGGTCACCTACAGAGGTCACCTAAGCGTGGACCCAGTAACACTGGCACAGCAGACTTCGTGGGTTACTAGCATGAACATCAGATGGGAAATGTACCTGCTGCCAAACAAGGGGGCAGGTGGGGAGGGGACCTGAAGGAAACCTTCTGTAAGAGGGGGTGGCTCAGATACTACTCCCTCCCACCCCTGAAATGTCTTCAATTTCTGATCTCCAGGCACAGCACAGGCATTACTCTGAAACCATTCAAACATCACAGAAGCTAAGCTGCAACACACCCAGGTATGGGCTATGTGGCCACAGAGCTGCAAGATGGGAGCTGAGTGTCCTTGCAGTCAGTCCAGCAGTGAACTCTGCCCCAGGGGTACCTGGGGGCTGAGCAGAGCTGAACAGAGGCATTTCTGAGTCTTCCAGCCAGAAATCTGCAGAGCAGGGTGTTAGTTGCTACAGGAGCAGGTTTTCATGAGGGCTCCCCGCAACCAAGCTGAGCAGGATCTGCTATGGGGTCTTTCCCTGCTACATCCCTTAGAGACCAATTAGCAGGAGCTCAGCTCTGGGCTGTCTCACCTGTCCTGAGTATCTCTCAGCAGTGACACCCTCGTGGCTCTCCAGCAGGCACCCAGCCACCACAGTATTCAGCAGCACTCTGAACCCACCCAGAGAGCCACAAAGCTGCATATGACAGAGGACAGGCAAGGGCTGAGAGTGTAGGCAAGGGCAGTGTGCACCTCAGGGCCAGGGCTCAGAGCCTTCCCCTCCAACACACCCTCTCGTTTCTGCAAGACCAGTGTGGCCCCAGGTCTCCTGCCTCCTGTGGATAGCAGGCCTAGAACAGGGCCGCATCCACATCCAGGAGGAACCCCTCTAGCCCAGAGTGGAAACCCCCAGGCCAGGCACCCCTATGAAGAACTGACCAACCTGAGCCAGATGGGTGGGCAAAAAATGGTAAGACTTACAATAAATTAACACACATCTAGATGTAAGCTCTGTTGCTCTGGCACAGGGACCTGCCTATCGTTTGCAGCAAGGAGAGGGGTGGCTTGGGGGGTTCAGTGCCTCCTGAAGCATCATAGCAAGCCCTAGTGTGGCAATCTGAGTCGGAGCCCAAAGACTCCCCTGTCAGGGGGGCAGCCCAGCACTGCTGAGAGCCAGGAACAACTATATGGTAGGCCGACACTCACTGGGAAAGCCGATGAGGTAAGGCATAACAGTCATGCAGAAAATGAAAATAGCAGAAGTGCACTTCACAGGTATGATGGGTGGTCAGATAGTGAAGCTCAGGGCGAGAGACGGCTGAGTGCTGTGCACAGGATGATGATTTTCCCCCCGGTACAGGGAATTGAACCCAGGGGCACTTTACCACTGAGCTACATCCCAGCCCTTTTTACTTTGAGACAGAGTCTTGCCAAGTCCTTAGCACCTTGCTGAGTTGCCCAGGCTGGCCTGAACTCACAACCCTCCTACCTCAGCCTCCTGAGTCACTGGGATCACAGGTGCGGCTGCTGTGCCTGGCACCATATCTTACAGAATGAGGATAAATATAAACACAATACTGCACAGAGAAGTCTGGGTGGCAGGTGATTTCCACTTTCTTTCTTATGTTTTCCCCATTTCCTGCAATGACACTTGTGTCACATTTTAAAGGAGTGAGTAGAAGGCTCACTGAGGCTGGACAGGTTGGCTTTGGCTTCAACTGTGCCCTGAGGTGGTCGAGAGCCCTGGCCACCCCTCCTGGCTAGTGCCAGCAGTCCCAGTTCTCCTCTTATGTGCCCTAAGCAGGCAGGCCCTTTCTGGTACTGTCTAAATCCAATCAGTTGGGGTTATGAGCAGAAGAGGCAGGGTGGAAGGTCACAAAGACAAAGGCCAGCACTGGTCTCATTATAGGCAGAAAGACCCAGTAATCATGGATTTGTCTGTGAAAACTATTTGGGATGAACCAGAGGCAGGATAGCCAAGAAACCAAAATGTGGTTCCTTTTTTTTTTTTTTTAATTTTAATATTTATTTATTTTTTTTAGTTCTTGGCGGACACAACATCTTTGTATGTGGTGCTGAGGATCGAACACGGGCCGCACGCATGCCAGGCGAGCGCGCTACCGCTTGAGCCACATCCCCAGCCCTGTGGTTCCTTTTTATCAGAACCAATCCCAAAAGAATCCCAGCATCACTCCTGTGTTTCAAAGAGGCAGAACAAGGGGAAAATAGACTACTTACCACATTTTGCCTTTTTAGTGATGAAGTAATATATGCTCTGATTTTTAAAAGCTAAGTAGTACTCTAAGGCATAAGTAAAAAATGTAGGTGCTCCCTTCCTCCAGCCCCCTGAGTGTCTCCCAGAGGTCCCCATGCCTCCTGGCTCACTTCTCACACTCAGGATGTCCCCTTCTGAAGCTCAGACCCACCCTCTCTGACACGAGCCAGTTCCCAGCCTCAGATGCTGCCTTTGGTAACAACCTGCTGTAAGGCCCCTTGGAGCGCCCCTGTTTTTGCTCAGCTCAGCCTCTAGGATAAACTCCTGGAAGTGTGACTGCTAGGTCCAAGCAGGGATGCCCTTCTGTTATGACTGCTTTCTGATCTCCAACCCACATGCCAGAAATACACAGGCTGGAGGCACAGCTACTCTGAGTTTCTGACAGATACATGGACCTATGTTATGAACTGAGATGGAGAGGTGCCTCAGTTAAAAACAAAACTTAGGGGCTGAGGACATAGCTCAGTTAGTAAAGTGCTTGCCTTGCTTGCATACACAAGGTCCTGAGTTCAATCCCCAGCAGCCCCACCTCACACACACACCAAAAAAAAAAAAATGTATCCAGGTATCATCCTGCAGTCGCACAGCTCGGGAGGCTGGGGCAGGAGGATCTCTTGAGCCCAGGAGTTAGAGGTCAGCCTGGGCAACAGAGCTAGATTTCATTAAAAAGGGCGGGGGGGGGGGGGGGGGCTGGAGTTGTAGCACAGCGGTAGAATGCTTGCCCTGTATGTGTGAGGCACTGCATTCAATTCCAAGCACCACATATAAATAAGCAAATAAAATAAAGATCCATCAACAACTTAAAATTAAAAAAAAAAAAAAACAGTATTTGACAGGCTGGGGGTGGGGTGAAGCTTGAGTAGAGCACTTGCCTGGCATGCATAAAGCCCTGGGTTGGGTTCAATCCCTAGTACTACAAAACAAACAACAGCCAGAGTGAAACCCTCCTGCCTGTTTCCTCAGCACCAGGCTCTGCCCAAGAACAAGTGCCACACTGTGTTCCAACATGTGCCACCCACACCCACAAGTGGCTGCTGTCCTCAGCTGTCACCCTGTATGGCTTTCCATATGAAGCCCTCCTCTACCTTGAGGAACTCATCACTACCACACCAGGTGGTTCTAAGCCAGCTGATCCTGAGCCCTCAACAGAACAGGACAGTTCCTTCACTGGCACAGCCAGACTCCCCTGCCCCCAGCCCGAGGTTCTCACACCAGGGTGACCATCTTACTCCCTCCGTGGGTAGCACCAGCCTTTGGGGCCTTAAGAGGCCACCTCTGACCTCAGTCACAGACAGCATATGTGCTTGGCCCATAGGTGCCAAGAGAACAGCCTGTGGCTCCTTGGTGAAAAGTAAAGGGATTCTGCAGCAGCCACAAGACAGTGCTGTACATGACAGGTGACGAGCAAGACAGTGGCCAGAGGCCTCTGTTGGTGCCATCTTCAAGACCCAAGATCCACAGGCCTCTGTCATCATGAGGGGGTCAGAGAATGACACTGCTTGATCTGGAAGGATGGTGCATGCCATCAGGGGCTGCACACAGAAGCATTGCTACACTTGCTCTAGAGACTCCATTACCTCCCTGCTGTTCCCCAAGCAGGACACACACAGGAGAGACAGGACAGTACCAGGGCAGGCTCAGGGGCTTCTCCTGGGACAAGGCCACTAGGAAGCACCTGGCACTCCCCACCTGAGCCCAAGATGTGCACTTGGGGTTTGTAATTACTCTTCTTAGCCAGGATATGGCAACTAAGAACTTCCAAAAGTAACAAAGCAAATCAAAACCCACCTATTGCCATAGATACTTTGGAAAGAACACAGAAATGATGACACCTGCTTTGCTTCCCAGAAAACAGTCTGGCAGAGGCAGAGCTTAATAGTGCTATGGTGGGAACACCACAGGTGAGCCCAGCCAGGCTTACTCTAAACTGCCTTTCCATGACTTCCCAATAACCCTCTATGCCCCACCAGGGTAACTGCTCTCTTTACTATATTGTCCTATTGTAAAAGTCTACATGTTTATTGCAGAAACTAGAAAGTGCTGAAAAGCAAATGGAAAATAATAAACTTTTGTTGTTGTTGTTGTTGTTACTGGGGACTGAACCCAGAGGTGCTCTACCACTGAGCCATATCCCCAGCCCTTATTTTTTGAGAGAGGGTCTACTAAGTTGCTTAATCCTCACTAAGTTGCTCAGGCTGGTCTTGAACTTGCAATCTTCCTGTCTCAGCCTCTTAAGTTGCTAGGATTACAGGCATGTGCCACGGTACCAGGCTTTATCTTTTTTTGCAGTGCTAGGGATCAAACCCAGGGCCTTGAACATGGTAGGCAAGCACTTTACCACTGAGCTACATCCCCATCCCCCAAACATTTTTTTAAATATTTTTTTTAGTTATATATGGACACAATACCTTTATTTTGTTTTTATTTTTAATGTGGTACTGGGGATCAAACCCAGTGCCTCACGCATGCTGGCAAGTGCTCTACCACTGAGCCACAACCCTGGCTTCCCAATAAAATGTTTAAAAATAGATGTAAAAGCTGGGCACAGTGGCACATGCCTATAATCCCAGTGGCTTGGGAGGTTGAGACAGGAGGATTGTAAGCTCAAGGCCGGCCTCAGCAAGTTAATAAGACTCTAAGCAACTTAGTGAGACCCTGTCTCAAAATAAACAAAAAGGGCTATAGGTATGTGGCTCAATGATAAAGTATCCTGGGTTAAAAAAAAAAAAATGTATAATCTTTTTTTTTTTTTTTTAATGTTGCCCAGGCTGGCCTCCAACTCTCCAACTCATGGACTCCAGCCTCAGCTTCCAGAGTAGCTGGGATTACAGGTACATGCCATCACATCCAGCTTAACAAGATGTATTTCAATAGCTCGGGGAGGGTGCTGTGGCCATTGTGCTATGTTCAGGGCACATTCCAAAGCACCAGGCAAAAGGCCACTGGCCACAGCTTGAGAATAGCAATGCACTGTACAGGGACACTGAAAGCAGGTGCACTGAGGACATGGTCAACACTGCGGGGAGGCTTCCACGCTCAGAAGGAGCGTCAAGGAGGATGGCTGTGTGCAGTACTGGGGATTGAACCCAGGGGCATCCCACCACTGGGCTACATCCCAGCCCTTCTGATTTTGAGTCAAGACCTCTCTTGAGCTTGAGACCCCTCCTGCCTCAGCCTCTCAAGTGCCTGGGATCACTGGTGTGCATTACTGCGCACAAGTGCCATTTCTAGAAGACCTATGCTTACTATGTCTTGAGGTTTTCTTTTTAAAAAAAAAAAAATAGTGATGTGTAAAAAGTCAGTCCCAGAGAAGTTGATTAGAGCAGGCCACACTGGACATTTAATATACAGGCTATCAGGGAAAGCCTGATGTTCATATGTCAAAAAAAACCCTAAAAAGGAATAATGTGCTTTGGATATTGGACAGGACAGCTGCCTGACCAGAAAAGGTCACAAGAAACCATCTGAAAAGCAGCAAGAGAGTGTCACTGGTCTTACCTGTGCGCCCCTGGAGTAGGACCTGAAGATGGTGCAGAACCGGCCCTGGCCCGAAGTGTCCCTGAAACACATAGGGAGTCAAAGGGACCTGAGTGAGGGGTCATGTCCTCCGCTCTGGCTCAGCAGCTCATCTGGACATCCTGGAGAGACCAGGCGAGGGAGCCAGAGAAGAGCAGAGAGGGTATGCCAGGAAGATGCCAACTACACAGATCATGCCAGCCCGGTGAGTAACACCAAGAGGGCAGCCCTTGTCTACCTGCTCAATGAGTCCCACTTGGGCCTGGAAGTCCAGGACACTATCTGGAGAACCCCAGAGACCAATGAAATTGTTGTCGCAGACTTTGAAGTTCTGGGAAATGTTTTTGTTGTTGTTGTTGTTGGGCCTTTATTTTATTTATTTATATTGGTGTTGAGAATCGAACCCAGTACCTCACACATGCTAGGCAAGCACTCTGCCACTGAGCCACAACCCAGCCCATGAAATGTGTTCTTTAATGTGTAGCCCAGGAAAATGCCAGGAGAGGCAGCATCAGCCACTGTGGAAATATGTCTTTTGGGGCAAAGAGGGCATGGGCCCTGTCAGGAAAAGATGCCTTAAACCTCCTGTTTTCCTATCTCGGAACAAAGTCCATTCCCTGCTTGAGCAGGGCCTGTTTAAATGGCAACTACAAGCAGGATATAAAGAGGGTGCCTTCCTATTTTACCCCATGGCTCCCCGTCTCCACACAACACCCCAACTTACCAGAGCTCCAGCTTGACACGCCTCCCGTCCAGCAGGATGGTGGTTGTCTTGTAGTCAATCCCTGTGAAGAAGCACAGGGGTATGGCAACCCTCAGCAACCAGCCTCCCTAGAGCTCAGACTCCTCAACTGAGCCTGTGCTGCAAAGTGGAAAAAAGTGTCTCCCTGCAACCTGCTGGGGAATAGGGCAGGAGTACTCCCTGTGGCCCCAGCCCAGCCCACCTGCACACAGCAACCACAGGACAAGGCAAGTGCTGAGGTCAGGACAAGGCAATGACTGCAGGCTGATCACACCAGCCTTTCCAGGGGCTCTGAGTCTGGCAGGCTGGAAGGACATGGCTCACCTCCACTTTCACCTACTAAATGTGGATTCTGAGGCTAAACTCTCAAAGGCCTGCTGTGGTCCCAGGAACTCACAATTGAAGCATTATCAAGGATGAGGCAACTTAAAGATGTTGTTTCCTTCCCATCCCCTCCTTCCCTTCCTCTTGTGTGTGCAGTACTGGGGATTGAACCCAGGGGCATCTCACCACTGAGCTACATCCCAGCCCTTCTGATTTTGAGTCAAGACCTCTCTTGAGCTTGAGACCCCTCCTGCCTCAGCCTCCCAAGTGCCTGGGATCACTGGTGTGCATTACTGCGCACCAGTGCCATTTCTTTGGAGAGCTGTCCAGAAGACCTATGCTTACTATGTCTTGAGGTTTTCTTTTCTTTTCTTTTTTTTTAAAAAAAAACACTGATGTGTAAAAAGTCAGTCCCAGAGAAGTTGATTAGAGCAGGCCACACTGGACATTTAATATACAGGCAACAAGAACCCTGTCCACAGCTCCTGCCCATAGTGCTCAGTCCTCATTCATACAAGCCTTAAACATATCAGGTTCTCCTTTTTTTGTTTTTGTACCAGGAATTGAACCCAGGGATGCTTTATCACTGAGCCATATCCCCAGCCCTTTTTTTGTTTTGTTTTTTTAATATCTTTATTTTTATGTGGTGCTGAGGATTGAACCCAGTGCCTCATGCGTGCGAGGCGACCACTCTCACTCTGAGCCACAATCCCAGCCCCCAGCCTTTTTTATTTTGAGACAGGATCTCATTAACTTGCTGAGGCTCATCTCAAACTTGTGATCTTCCTGCCTCAGCCTTCTAAGTCACTGGGATTATAGACTGTATCATGGTGTCTGGCAGGTTCTCAGCTTTTATAACCCTTGCTCCAAGGGGGCTGGAAATGGGCATTTATTTTTATTTTTATTTTTTTTAGTTGTAGATGGACACAATATCTTTGTTTTATTTATTTATTTTTGTATGTGGTGCTGAGGATTGAACCCAGCATCTCAAGCACGCGAGGTGAGTGCTCAACTACTGAGCTACAACCCTAGCCCTGGAAAGGGGCATTTTAAACATACACATCACTCTCAAACGATGGTGTCCGTATATCTGTAGGTGTGTCTGTCTTTATATCTGTGTCTGTGTCTCTGCATATCTCTATATCTCTGTGTTTCTCTATTTTTGTGGGTCCATGTGCCTCTGCATGTATCTCTATACCTCTGCATATCTATTTTTTTGTGCATGTGTCTGTGCATGACTGTGTGTGTGTGTGTGTCTGTGTGTGTATGGCTCTATCCAGGCAGGCAGACCATTTGGCACCCCTTCAGCCATCAGGAGCTCCTTTCAGGCATTTGTTGGCCTAGCAAATTAGTGACTGTATATCAAAACCTTGTTGTTTTGATATACAGCCAATACCATGCTGGTTTTGGTGCTATTGCTCTGTAGTATAGTTAAGATCTGGTATTGTGATGCCTCTTGCTTCACTCTTCTTGCTGAGGATTGCTTTGGCTATTCTGGGTCTCTTATTTTTTCAAATGAATTTTATGACTGCTTTTTCTAGTTCTATAAAGAAGGTCATTGGGATTATAATAGGAAGTGCATTAAACCTATATAATGCTTTTGGTAGTACAGCCATTTTGACTACATTAATTCTGTCTATCCAGGAGCATGGGAGGTCTTTCCATCTCCCAAGGTATTCTTCCATTTTTTTTTTTCTTTAGTGCCTTCCTATTTTACCCCATGGTAAATAGAGCTCCTTCACCTCTTTTGATTAACTCCCAAGTATTTATTTATTTATTTTTTTGAGGCTACTTGAATGGGGCAGTTTTCCTAATTTCTTTCAGCAGATTTATCACTGATGTATAGGAACATGTTTGATTTATGGGTGTTGATTTTATATTCTGCTACTTTGCTGAATTCATTTATTAGTTCCAGAAGTTTTCTGATGAATTTTTTTTGGATCTTCTAAATATAGAATCATATCATTGGCAAATAGTTTGAGTTCTTCTCTTCCTATTCATACCCCTTTAATTTCTTTCTCCTATATAATTACTCTGGCTAGAGTTTCAAGGACAATGTAGAATAGAAGTGGTAAAAGAGGGCATCCTTGTCTTGTTCCACTTTTTAGAGGGAATGCTTCTTCTCAGCAAATGAAAGAATCAATAATGTGAAAAGACAGCCCACAGAGTGGGAGAAAATCTTTACCACATGCACCTCAGATAGAGCATTAACCCCCAGGATATACAAAGAACTCAAAAACCTTAACACCAAAAATAAATAAATAAACACACACACACACACACACACACACACACACACATCCCAACCAATAAATGGGCTAAGGAACTGAACAGACACTTCACTGAAGAAGAAATACAATTGATCAACAAATATATGAAAAAAATGTTCAACATCTCTAGCAATTGGAGAAATGCAAATCAAAACTACTTTAAGATTTCATCTCTGGGGTGAGGGGGTGGCTCAGTGGTAGAGCACTTGCCTAGCACGTGCAAGGCCCTGGGTTCAATCCTCAGCACCACATATAAATAAATAAAATAAAAGATCTATTAACAACTAAAAAATATTAAAAAGAAAAAGATTTCATCTCTCTCTAGTCAGAATGGCAATTATCAAGAATACAAGCAATAATAAATGTTGGTGAGGATGTGGGGGGAAAAGGTACACTCATACATTGCTGGTGGGACTACAAATTAGTGCAATCATTATGGAAATCAGTATGAAGATTCCTCAGGAAATCTGGAATGGAACCACCATTTGACCCAGCTATCCCACTTCTCAGTTTATACCCAAAGGACTTAAAATAAGCACACTACAGTGATGCAGCCACATCAATGTTTACAGCAGCTCAACTCACAATAGCTAAGCTATGGAACCAACCTAGGTGTCCTTTAACAGATGAATGAATAAAGGAAGCATGTTATATATACACAATGGAATATTACTTAGCCTTAAAGAAGAATAAAATTATGGCATTTGCCGGTAAATGGATAGAGCTGGAGAATATCATGCTATGCAAAATAAGCCAATTCCCTAAAACCAAAAGCCAAATGTTTTCTCTGATATGTGGGTGCTAATTCACAATGGGGGAGGAGGCTATGGAAGAATAGTTACTTTAGGTACAGGGGAGCGAAGGGAGGGGAGAGAGCCCGGGGATAGGAAAAATAGTAGAACGAATGAGACATTATTACCCTATGTCATATACAACTACATAACCGGCGATTCTATATCGTGTACTACCAGAAGAATGAGAAATTATATGTCATTTATGTATGATGTGTCAAAGTGCATTCTACTGTCATGTATAATTATTAATCAGAACAAATTCTTAAAAAAGTATAAGGCCAAGCATGTTGGCTCATGCCTATAATCCCAGCAGCTTGGGAGGCTGAGATAGGAAGATCACAAATTCAAAGCCAACCTCAGCAACAGCAAAGCACTAAGCAACTCAGTGAGACGCTGTCTCTAACTAAAATAAAAAATAGGGATTGGGATGTGGCTCAGTGATTGAGTGCCTCTAAGTTCAATCCCCAGTACTAAAAAGGAAAAAATAAAAAGTATCAGCAGAGAGAAAAATGTAGCCCACAAAATTGAAGAAAATATTTGTAAATCATATATTTTGTTATGAACTGAGAGTTCTATAAGTCAACTTGATTAAAAATGGGCAAAGGCCTTGAATAGATACTTCCCCAAAGATGATACACCAATAGCCACTGAGCACAAGAAACCATGCTGAGACAGTGGAATGAATCATATATGAATACATAACCAGTGTAATGCCACATGATGTACAATCACAAGAATGGGAAGCTATGCCCCATGTGTACATAACATGTCAAAATATATTCTACTGGGCTAGGGATGTGGCTCAAGTGGTAGTGCGCTCGCCTAGCATGCGCGAGGCAGTGGGTTTGATTCTGAGCACCACATAAAAATAAAATAAAGATATGTGTCCACCTAAAACTAAAAAACAAATTTAAAACACTACCCCAAAATTAATATATAGTCTACTACTATGCATAACTAAAAAAAAATGTGGAATACCGCCAGGAAAAGTGAGTCAGAACCAAGCTGCTCCTTCACGATGATGCATGTCTGTAATCCTAGCAGCTTGGGAGGCTGAGGCAGGAGGATTTTGAGTTCAAGGCCAGCTCAGCAACTTAGCACGGCCCTTTCTCAAAAAAAATAAAAAAAAGCTGGGATGTGGCTCAGTGGTTAAATGGCCCTGGGTTCAATCCCTGGTACCAAACAGAAAAATAAAAATAAAAGAAAGAAACGAAGGGCCAGTGTGGCAAGGGTGTGGAAAAGAGAGCCTTCCATGCACCAGGGACTGTAGTACAACTGCTAACAGAACAAGTATCCACATGCCACTGAGCTGTGTGCTCCAACACGGTTGAGACATCAGATCTCTCAGAATGAGGAAAAGTGAGGGCATCTCATGCACACCCTCAGGGAAAGACCTGCCCAGGCCCAGCCAAAGCCGTCTTCCACCCCCTTCTCCTCAACTTTCCCTCTGATTTTCTGGAGGAAACTTCTAGAATTCTGTCCTATATGAAACTCAGTGCTGACAGCGGAGGTGCCACAAGAGACCCATGAGGGACAGTGCTGCAAACAGTGATTTTTGAGGTGCCTGCTTGAGACCAGAATTACCACCTGTCCCCCCCCAGGAAAGGTGCTGCCCTGCTGCCAAGCTACCACTAGAGGGCACTGTGGCCCTGTGC